ATTGTTTACTTCTTGAACTTCCAAGACACAACTCTTCCAGCGATGTTCAAAACATGTCCACTGGATGCCTTGAAGTTCTCTATAGGGTATTCTCGTCCGCATCAATATACCCTACCAATACAGCAAGAAACCGTTGATAACTTATATGAAGGTCTACTTTTATCTTAAGGTGTCTCATGACCCCTTTCAATAGCACTTCAACGCTTCATACTAAGACAATCAGTAAGCCTGCTAATTACCCCCACTAAATTGGGTCTCATGTTTATGAGCTGCCTCACGCAGACTGTCGATGCTAGTATATTCTAACTTTCTTAGTTTCTTACACCATTACCAGTGTTCTTTAATATTTACACTAGCATCATCAACCATTTGTGCAGACATACAACTAGTATTTCTTCTAGATCTTAACTATGTAGTTAAATTGGTCTAGAGGAAATCTATTTCATTGTCATAGTTACTAGGATCTCCTAGCTTACACAAGCTTCATCTTGATCATTCAAAATTCTCAAACATGGTTTTTCACATCATTGATATCATGAGTCTTTGTACCAAAGATCAACATGTTATTCATAGTGCACGTGACATTCTCAAACTTGTATTAAATGCACTTGTCACCTTCATTAAAACCATGAGAGAGAACAAGTTTATTCATGCCATCGTCTTAGAGTCTGTTCAAATCTTACAATGATTTGTCTAACTATAGACTCCATAAGCATGTTCAGGAATAACAACCCTATAGGTTGTCCCATGTAGATTTCTCTATCTAAATCACCATTCACATAAACAGTTTTAACAATCCATCTGACGCACAACACTAGCAATCAGAACATACATGGATGTTATTCTACATATGGTGAATAGGTAACAAGAAAATTTACAATTTTTTCTTTTCACCTAAAGCCTTAGCTATTAGGCGATCATTATACTCATAAACTAAATAGGTTTCGCTTTTCTTTTAAGAATCCATCTATTACCCATGACTTCATTGCCAAGAGGTGATTCTCAAAGATGCCAAATATTGTTCGATTCTATCGATATATTTCCCAAGGCTTTACAGCCAAGAGGTAACTCTACAAGATTTTAAGTCTTATTAGACTTCAATAATTACATTTCGTTAATAATGGATTCTCCCACAAATCTGCATCTTTCTGGAAGTTCGAGATTCTAGCAGACTTGTAGGATCTTTCTTCGTTAGGGTGTAAATAACAAATTCATAACCAAAATCTTTTCTTGATTTATGGTTCATTTGTCTCTTTTGAGTTCATACCCAGATTCATCACCCCCACTAGTTATCCATTATTTCTAATAGCATACAAGATATCACCCCCACTATTTCTAGATTTAAATGGAATGACATCAATGGATTCCACATAACAATGAGTATTCATTCCATAAGCTTATGTGTTTTATTATAGCTTATCTAACACATTCATATGCTCTACTGGATATCATATATTCATATTACACTGATTCTATAACTCTACCACAAGCATGCAACATATCAAATAATCAGTGCAATCATCAATAATGCGATTAAGCATTTCAAGCATTAGCATCTCAAGTAACTAGACATACAATCAGAGCACTCTATAAAGCATTAAATAAATTATTGCCTTTCCATCAAATTTATCCATATCAAAATAATCATATCTATGGATTCTAATTCTTTCACCACTTATTTATGAGTCATTTAGCTTGGATACAAAATTTATATTTATCTCAAGCATTTAAGAATAATATGGGATTGAGACCTTAGATATTCTAAGTTCACAATGACACACATCCCACACAGAAGAATTCATCTAATTTACTTAATCATTCCTTACATCTTGCATAGTCAACCAATTTCTAGAGTTAAGGTCCATTTCCACTTTCTGAGAACCATAAGCAATAGTGGTGAGGGCAGTGCCCAACAACACTTTCTTTTTCAACACGCGTCAATGTATGATTGAGTTTAGCTCATTTATCACACACATATCTTGAAGCGGCCGTATCCAACAACCATTCTTCAGAGTTACCATTAAGGCTAACCTCTGTCATCACCTCAGTGAATATTATTACCAAATCCTCTCCTTTAATCAAGTTAACACATATACTATGTTAAACTTGCTCTAACACTTTCGTGTTATATGACCTAGTTTTTCTCAAATTTAATAGAGAAACATAACGTTATTCTTAGAGGATTGTGTGACAATCTTATGGTTACCACGATGGGTACCATTCTAATTGGTGTGGATCTGGTTCGGCTTGCTATTCTCATTCTTGAAACTTTAGGTCCTGTTTACTTTAATTTCTGTTTCCTGTTTTTTAGAAAACAGATGTTGAAAACAGGTGAAAACAACATTTCGTCGTTTCCGAAAACAGCAGGAAGTTGCCACTTTCTGTTTTCATAGTTGGAAACGAATAAAAAACAGAATGAAAAGTAAACAAGTTTTCTAGTTTCGGTTGCCAAATTTATGACATGAAAACAGAAAACAGGAAACGAAAATGGAAGTGAACAGGGCCTTAATGTTTCAGAGCAACCTTAGTGGTTCATGTTGTACTAACAACAGTACTTCTTACAATATCGTTACTATGGGCAATTAATCCATTCTAATCCCATATATTCTTCATATATATGCACACATTTAAACAAAATCATTCTACTCCACAACATGTATTCAACTTATACTCTAACCATCGAAGTAATACACCTCAATGTCGACATATACATGCATCAATTCTAGTTTTATTTTCTCACATTCGTATGGTTTTCAATACCATGCATAAAACTCAATGTAATAGATTCTCATTTATCATATATTAATGACTCTCGAGAAAAGATTTAGGTTTACCTCTTCTCCAGAAGTCGTAACCTTCTGATTCAATAGTGAATAGCTTGTGCCATGACAACTTGCTTGTTGCTTTTCAGCTCTTCTGTCACGAGCCACAGGTGGCCCAATTTGTATAACAAAGGCAGGGGAGGAGTTACGGTGCTAATTGTACAAGAGTTAGCACCGTCCTAACCAAGGGTTAGTAGTGATTTAGCTTAGATGTTGTATTGATTTTATAATAATCCGTAGTGATTTCGTTGTTTTTAGTAGCGTTTTTTGCTAGTTATCACGGTGCTAATCCCTATAAGGATTAGCACCTAATCCCATTCCCAAAGGCAGAGGTAGTCTCCATCAACTACCCACTGACCATTATTTGCATTCATCTACCTCGGCCTCCATATATCTCCCAAAGAAATATTCAACAACGGCACTCTTTCTATTTTTTTCCTTTTTTTTTTTGTTATATTTGGGCCTGGCCCAAGAATGAGCTCAACGAGAGCTGGGGAGGACTCCCACTAGGGATGGCAATGGGTCGGGTTGGGTCGGGTTTTGCCAAACCCAAACTCAAACCCATGGGTTTGTCCGTGAAAAAAACCCGGGGTAAAACCCATTGGGTTTGAAAAACTCAAACCCAACCCAACCCGCTGGGTATCCTCGGGTTCATGGGTACCCACGGGTTTTTGTCGTAAAACTTTACAATAACTAGTTCTTATCAAAATTAAATTCAAATATCAATCTCTCAATATAAATTATCCATATATATAGAACACTATTGTAGAAAATTCAAGCAAATCACAAATTAACTATACAAATTGTTCAACACCAATTTAGAAAACTCAAGAAAATTGAAGCAAATCACAAATTATCCATAAATAACATGATTAATTGAAAGTTTCTTCCTTTCAATTAAGTTTTTTCACTCTCTACTCGATAACATCAACTTAATTGTACACAATTAGAAAGAAAAAATTAGACATGTATCCACAAACATAAATAAGATTAGTTGTTTAGAATATCAAATATACCGAGAAAATTAATTATATAGGTGTGGGCGGGTACCCATGGGTCGGGTTTACCTAAACCCAAACCCAACCCAACCCGATGAATAGTGACCGGGTTTAAACCCAAACCCGGCCCAAAACCCGTCAACACGGATTTTACCCGCGTTGACCGGGTTGGATCGGGTGGATACCCGTGGGTTCGGGTTTTGTTGCCATCCCTAACTCCCACTACTCTGCCTCTAAGCCTTGCGTTGCAGACCTAGGGAACAATGTCGTATGTAGCTGGCGTGCGTCCCCTTTAGCGGGGCCCTTTGAATTTTCCAGACCAAGACAACCACCCATCTCGCTAAATTGAAATTGTTTCTTTTGTCCTTCTAGCCATAAGCCCACAACCGCCTGGAAGCTGACCCCGATCAATTGTTCCGGTTAATTTCGCTGCTTCAATCCTCGCGTCCCAGGTCCAATTAATTGGACTAGAAAGAATCTAACAATTGCGATCCCAATAGCTGCGCTCCATCGATCTCTCGGTATTTCAAATAGCCGCCGAATTGATCGATGTTTTAGTAAACGAAAAAGAAGCACGGCGACGATGCAAAATCAATTCAACCAGAATCAGTAACTTGTTCAGTAAAAAATTGTTAGAAACGAACAATTGAATCTCGGTTACCGGATCTGGCTGAGTCGCGGACTAGGTCGCTCTCTTTAAGACGTTCGCGGTACTGCCTTGTAATGCGCACGGCAGACTATCAACCGGTCGTCTCCAGGATAAAACAACCACTCTTTGTTTTCTCTCGACTTGTGCGAAACCAGAGCTCTTTGAGTCTCACTCTCTTCGTGTTTTTGCTCTCTATTTCTTTTAGGGTTAGGCAACTCATCTATTTATATATGATGAGACCTTCAGACTTCCCCTCTTGGTGGAGAATTTGAGAATCTTCTTAAAGAAGGAAATCAAGAGTAATAACTCCTGATTATACATTCCTTTAATGCAGACAATTAACCCGATTGATAAAACTTTCCTCCAATACCAGAAATCAATCTGATTGATTGAAACTTTCCGTTAGTATGGATAATTAATCTGATCATGAAAGATTCCTTCAATATGGAAAATCAATCCAATTGATTGAAACTTTCTGTTAATTCGGTCAATTGATTCTAATTGAAGAAACGTTTCCTTCAACACAGAAAATTAATCTGAATTAACTTCACTTACCTTTTTCAAAGACTTTCCTTTAGTTTTTTTACAAACTATTCAGAACACTTGATTTGAGAGAACCGCAGGTTTCACGTTCCAACAAAGGCACAAAGAAAGAACAATGGAACGTTGATAAAATCAACAAAACGATGCCGGGATTCCATTCCAACACACTACCGGAAAACGCTACATTCCACGGAGGGGGGAAACAAAGGGATATAAAGCTCTTAGCTGATTCTGAATTTTAGCTCTCGAGACATAAAACCACCAGAAGCCTCGACTACTTGGGGAGGCCAAAAGCTCAGACTACTCTTGAATATGGGAGGGCCTCTCGTTCTCCCGGTGCATGCCTGTCCACGGCTGAAAGCTGTTCGTGTCATCAGTCTTGTTGTAGATGCCGTTCTTCCGTCTCCTGGTAATTATGGAACTTTTGTTTGAGGATAAAAGCCTAGTGGCTAGTTGCAAGAGCAGTCACCAACAGACCTAGCACCAGAAATGGCTGGGCGCTCGCCTGAAGCAAATGCATGCGGTCGAGAGATTGTGTTAATTATTGTTAGGCATACAGTACAATGCAAGCAAATTAACAAGATTTGAAAACTGGCTATAGTCGTAGAATGGAGATTCACCAACTTACCTGATACTTGACGTCGTACTTGACAGGGTCCTTCAGGAAATATTGGAACTGCAAGAGCACACGCAGGAATATTCATTGTGTGTTTCGATTTGCTTTTTCTCATGTAGGAAAACTACCGCAATATAACAAGTCTGGATCTCTTTAGAAAATCCGTGCTTTAGCAGTTCTAATGAAGTTAACCTCCACGACAAAGCTAATGAATTCAAGAATTGATTAGCGTTTGGCTTACCTGAAAAAAGACCTGCGGAATAATCAAAGCGAGTAGGGCCAAGGCATAATATGGTTTTCCAGCTCCAAGGAGATAGCCTGATAAAATTACAATTACCTCACAGTAAGAAAGTAACCATAGAACAGAATCTGGAGCTTGTGGTGTTAGGAAAGTATTTGAAATATTTTTGTTCAGCAATGTAGTCATGCAGGGGACCATGAAATGGAGACTTCACTACCTAGCATATCAAAGTTTACCAATCCTACATACCAGCTATAGATATCTGAGTTATGTCGATGGCACCAACACAGATCCATTTAGCAGCCTCAGCACCAAAAGCCACAGGTAACGACTGCCAAAACAAAACAGGACATGTAAAAGGTTATGATAGAAACTATCGAAATGGCCTATCGAGAACATATTTCACACATGATCAAGGCACTCACCTGGAGGCCCATCGCTCGATCTCCTTCAATACTTTTGAAGTCATTTACAATCGCAATTCCCAGCTGTGAGCAGTCATTGATTCATGAATGATTGAAAATAAAAGGTGAAAATGAAGTAACTAATCAACCAGATAAATTCATACCCCGGCTAAGCTGTACAGTAGTGTCAGAACAATTATGTCAGGTGTAAGTGTCCCAAACAGAGCCTGACCCGCCCACCTATCCACAGAAGGGAGATCAACATCTGTACACATATACTGCAGTCTGTAGGATTGGCAACTACACAAATTTTGATGGTATCCTAACATTCATTTGGTTTCCTAGAGGGTGCCAACCCTTGCAGGCAAGTTTGGTCTCTAGAATATAGCCTAACATGCACTCAAAACAAATTGACATCGTAGGTTATGGTTTCCCCTTTGCCGTCTAATGGTCCATCAAATGCTATATCTTTCTATCTAACTGATATTCAATTAGCCCAAATTCAATGTTTATATTAACTTGCTAAGAATAACAAAATACTAACTCGTATACAAGTCCACAAGATATGCACTGAAACAGATGACTTAACAGTAGCAAGCTGTTATAAGAACTGAGACAAAGTAGCCAAAGATATTGTACCAAGGCAAACTGATATAACTCGCGCCCAGCGCAAAATTCCCAATCCATCCATTCTGCTTAAGCTGCAATAACATTGGGAAACAATGTTCAGGCACATTTCTTGACAAAATTAAGATCAAGCACCAGCAGTGTGGCATCTCAGAAACAAGACAAGAAACTACCTTTAGAGGTGGAGCAGAGTATATGTACGAGAGCAATGACCCACCCAAAGCGAGATAGAAAACTATGGGAAAGGTATGTCCTGCCTATAGAAGACAAGGAGTCATGAATCAGGAATGATGTTATAGTAAGGTAACATTCACAACATCCGGCTCCCCCACATACCCAAACATCCAATATACCAGCACAGCCTAGGCCTCCAAGAAGCAGCACCCAGACTTGAGTAATAACCTGTAAGAAGTTCCCAGAGGAATTAAGCACATATATAGCCGTGCAAGGTTGAAATGTAACTCATGATTTAGTTTGATATTGCAGACCTCATCCTCAGAAATGGCTCCAGATGGAATTGGCCGATAAGGCTCGTTGATCGCATCAATCTCACGGTCATAGTAGTCGTTTATCGTCTACATCATCATCATCAACAAAGAGAACTTGAGTAAACAAAATTCAAATCAATCAAACATGAGAACCCTGAACCTTATAAAGCATGGCATGGGGTTATCTACCTGTGTGTAGCCAGTTAGAAATGGGCCAGACATCATCATGCATACTACTGATTTAGCAACATCCTCCAATGTCCAATGGAAGTTTCCTGCAACCCATTTGCAATTTGTCTAAAGAAGTTCGGCAAGGAAGCCATGAATCTAACAGCTACAAAAATCTAGGGAACTAAAGAAGGAATTACCAGAAGCAGCAGCTCCACAAACTACTCCCCAGACCAAGGGAGGCCAAGTAACGGGTTTTGTTAGTTGAAGACGAATTTTCCATTTATTCTGCAACATAAGCATCGCAAAGGCTACTTACTCAAAGAAGAAACTCCCGAGGCCTAATTTGGAAATTATCGAGCATAAAATTACACAGAGAAAAAGAGAAACTTACAGTCTCCTGAGCAGCTCCTTTGATGCCGAGAAGCTGGTTGAAGCTCGAGCCGCCACCGGCTGGCGCCTTATCTGGTACCTGAGGTTTTACCGTCCCTGTAACAAAACGAAGCGCAAGTAAGTTTCAAGCTTCATCTCGGAACATGAAATACCTCGCAGTTATGAAGAGATGAAATGAGAAGAAAAGAAAGCTGGAAACCTTCATTGGTATCAGTCTCTGCAGCTCTAATCGTAAGCCGACGCCCTGCAAACAAGAAGGAGAAGGAAAACAGCAAAGTCCAGATTAGTCCATTCAGCTGGCGACAGAGGGAAAGGAGCGGAAATGACTTCAAACAGGTTGAGCGTCTCGTGAGGGAACTCACTTGAGAAAGATACAGAAGCTGGAGAAACGAGTGACCGAGCCCGAACCCGTCTGGCGCGCCCATTTGATGTCAAACCGACGGACAGAGCTGGGTTTAGCAGGGAAGCCATTGGAGATAGAGCTCCAGAGTCCACGGAGGTTCGCTGCTACTCGGATTGACGGAGAAAAATGAGCAATCCGTGACAGTTCGATAGAGTCTGTGGGGCTTCAAACTGTGATATACTGATATGGCACTTCCTGTGCGAAGGAAGGAAGGTAAGGAAGGGGAGTAGGGACGATGGAGTGCTATGATAAGGTGTACTGCCACCCTACGGAATCATCGACTGACTCGATGACGTGGCACAATGGACGTTCCTAGGAACCCTTCGTTGTCTGTTAAACAAATCACGGGCGGCATTTTAACGTTTCTGCTGTGCGAGCGACTCCCGAGTTGGTTCCTAAAAGAGGTAGTGTAGCTTTTTTTTTTCGACGGAAATTTGTGTGAGCTTTATTAATCAGATCGAGTGGTTACATCATCCAGCCGAAGTTGATTAACAAGATAAATTGGTGGCCTATCAACCCAAACAACCCTTTCATCCCATCTCGACTCGGCGTGTGCCATAACGTGTGCTGCCTCGTTCGCCTCTCTGAAGATATGATGCCAACTCCCGTCTCATGTTGCTTTCAGCAGCCTCATTACTGCATATAACACCCACTTCATCTTGAAATTCATTCAGGTTTTGGAGCTTGTAGCATAACGTCTAGCAATCCGGCTCAAGTACCACATTCTGCATGTTATTCTAAAAAGCTAGTTGGGCTCCAAACTCAGCTGCTATAGCTTCCGCCTCCCAACTTCCCGGAATTCGTTTCACAACCACAATAAGAAACCTCCCTTCGCTCCTAGTCCTGCCCCCTCAGTTCCAATAATGCTCGCGTCAGTGCATACGGATACAGTCCCAATTCTCAACCTCTTCCATCCTCCTCTTTCTTGCACCTCTCTTATCTCCTGTTTTCGGGCTTGATGAGTCTTATAGTCCGCCAACAGGTACTTTGCCCGCACCACTATCTCCACTTCGGGTAGTTTTGCTCCATTAAATAAATGAGCATTTCTTTCCTTCTAGAGATACAAGAGCAGAACGCACCATCCGTCAAACTTGTCTTCCTCTCCTTTATCCATCGCAGCCTTCACCCAATCATAAAAGGTAGCATCGTTCTTCCCTTCGAAGTAGTCAGCAAACTCGGACTTGCGCCATATACGGGAGCTCCATTGACACTCGCAGAAACATGTGTTTGAGTTTCACATATGTCGCAGAAATGACATTTGTCACTTCGTCGAGGGTTGTGCTTGCTTACTTTTACACCTATCGGGAGGATCTCCCGCCTGAGTCGCCACATAAAGTGACGAATCTTCGGTGGGATATTCAAGCCCCAGACCTTCTTCCAAACCTTTTCCTCTACTTGTGCCGAAACGGCATGTTTTGTCAAGAATTCGGACAACCATAGTTTGTACCCCTCCTTGACCGAATAATTTCCACTCTTACTTGCATGGCAAATCAAAGTATCCTGCTCGTTGTTTCCTCTTAGTGGTATTTTCTTGATGGCTCGGATCACCTCTGCAGGGAAACAACTACTAAAAACCGTATTGTCCCAACATTCAATCTTCAGGTCAACCAGCTCTCGTACAGTCGCGTCTACAGGCAATCCCATGGGTGCAGAAACCACGAACTAATGCGCCAGCCCCGGAACCCAATGATCTCCCCATACACGCACCATTATTCCATTTCCTATCCTCCATCGTAGTCCTCTTGCCAATAGATCTTGCGCACTTAAGAGGCTACGCTACACGAAGCTAGGCCGATAACCCAAATTAGCATATCCAGGACCAACGAATGCTTATGCTATTTGGCCTTCAGAATACGAGCTATGATGGAGTTCGGTCTTTGGATTAGGTTCCAAAGCTTCTTCACCAACAGAGCCTCATTAAAACCCTTCAAATCCCGAAAACCCATTCTACCATCCTTTTTCAGACCCACCAACTCTTCCCTTCTTAGACCGTGTGCTCTCTTTTCCGATGCTCGTTGTCCCCACCAAAAATTCATGATCATACTATGGGCCCCAACAATTATGCCATCCGGAACCGACATAGCATAAATGAATTGTGCATGTGCCACCGATTTTATCAGAACTTCCCTAGCTGCCACGGACAAAGACCTCTCCTTCCATCCGCTCAGTTTCTTCCTCATCCGATCCTTGATGTCGTCAAACAATTGCTTCTTTGACCGACCAGCTTCTATCGCTAGTCCCAAGTATTTGTGGTGCTTTTCTACTCCCTTCATTCCGAGGACTCCCCTATCTCCAATCTCTTGTGGGTTTGAACATTGGAGCTGAAAGAAACCTCCGATTTTTCGAAGCTTACCAGCTGTTCCGATTCTTTTTCGTAATCCTTTAAGATCCGTTTCAGCTCCTTTCCCACCTCCACATTTGACCTGTCAGAAAAGATGCAATCGTCATAAAAAAAGAGATGGGACACAACCGGACCCCCTCGTGCCGGCTGTATCCCGTGAAGTCTTCTCTCCTGAACTGCCAGAGTAGTGTAAGCGGACAGCCCCTCCGTACATATCAGAAACAAATATGGCGATAGAGGATCCCCTTGTCGGAGACCGCGACTCGGCGTCCAAACGGGGGATCGATGCCCATTTACCAAAACTGAAAAGGAGACCGATCTGACACACATCATAATCATGGTCACCCACTTCTCATCGAACCTCATTCTCCTCATAACCCCTTCCAGGAAGTGCCACTCTACCCGGTCGTAGGCCTTTGCCATATCAGTTTTCTCAGCCAAGTCTGGTACCCTTCATTCCTTTATTTTTCATCGTATGAAAGCATTCGAACACACTCATCATGTTATCCATAATATATCTTCCTGGGACGAAGGCGCTTTGCTCTGGGGATATGATTTTATTCAGAACCGCCTTCAATCTGTTCGCGAGCACCTTCCCTACCAGCTTATATAGAACATTGCACAGACTGATCGGGCGGTACTCTTTAGGGCTAGTGGGACTTTTGGTTTTAGGAATCAGCGCCAATAACGTATAATTGAGCTCTTGTGGCAGCTCAACATTCTCAATGATTCCCTTAACCACTGAGGCAACATCTTCACCAACTTTTTTCCTATGAGTTTGGTAGAAAGCTGCCGGTAGCTCGTCCGGTCTCGGGGCTTTCCTGCGACCCATTTGTTTCAGCGCTGTAACTACTTCCTCCTGCTCAACAGACCAGGTAAGTCTCATTATCTGCTCTCGTCACTGACTTTGAGACCGCATTCAAAACTGGTGTTTATAAAGGTATCTCGCCCGCGGTGAATAGGCCGCCAAAATATTGCAGAAAACAGTCAAATAGTCTCGTTGTACCTGTATACCATTTCCCTGCGTCGTTTTTTAATTTCCGAATTGTGTTTCGACGTTTGCGAGCCGTGGCTTTTGTATGGAAATAATCTGTGTTCTTGTCTCCTCCTTTTAACCAGTCCGCCCTTGATCTTTGTTTCCAATAACTCTCTTCCTTGTCTTCCAACCCTGCCATCTCCTCTTCCAACTTCCATTTCCGTTCGAGTATAATGGGTGATGCCGACATTCTTTCCAATCTTCTCAAAGCTTTTTGGATCCTCTTACTTTGTCTTGTGAAATTCGGGAATGTGGTTGTGCTCCAACTATCAAGCTTGTCTTTGCATGATGCTGTTCTCCCTAGGATGCCTACTGTTGCTGAATTTGACCAGGCCTCTTCTACAACTTTGGAACTGTCAGCATGGTTCGACCAATAAGGGTCGTATCGAAAGCTCCATCCCCATTGCGGTTCTTCATCTTCCTCTCCTTTGGTATCGCACGTGATGGGTCTGTGATCCGATCTTGTATAATCAAAGTGCTTCAACTTTACTCGAGGGAACATGTCTAACTATTCATCATATGCAACAAAAATATCAAGACGTTCTTCAATATACCCCCCCTTTCTCCTCCGGTTATCCCATGTGAAATTGTACCCTTCAAAACTGACATCACCTAGCTTTGAGTCCAGTAAACATTCATGAAACTTCTTTAAGTCCCGCTCGTCTCTTGGCAGCCCTCCACTCTTCTCTACAGAGGCCATGATTTCATTAAAATCGCCTCCACATAACCACGGACCCACCCATTGACCTGCTAACTCCCGAATAAGACTCCATGTGTTACCCTTATCGCCCGCCTCCCGCCAGCCATAAACACCGGTAAAACGCCATACCAAGTTAACTTCCTCCACTATCTTCACATCTATACAGTGTAGGGAGGCATACATGACTGTGATATCCAGCTCCTCCGACCACCACATACTCACGCCTCCGGCTCTATGATAGACCGTTAATTACACATGTTTTTACCCCCGTTCTTACACCGTTTGAGATGTGGTTTCTCGTGTTTTAGGCCGATTTCACGCTAGGTTGTGCTTGTTTGTGATATTTCAGGTCCTAGTATGTGAATGGAGGCTTGGGAGCGAGTTTGGGGTCGATTGGACGAAGATCGGACGCGTGGCGAGGTGCTAAGGAAGCAACACGGGCACACACAAACACCACACGGCCGTGCAAGTGACCAATGTGGCCGTGTGGGATTGTGCGAGCCTTCACACGGGCACAAATAATTAGCACACGGCCGTGTGAAGGAGCAAGGTGGCCGTGTGAGTTGTGCCGAGAGCAAACACGGGCAGAGCAGATTTTCCACACGGCCGTGTGACCCTGGCCGTGTGGGAAGCCTGAAACTCAACTAATCGATACGCCGCGTTTTGAGTCACACGGGCAACTGGGTGAGCCACACGGCCGTGTGGCCTGCCCGTGTGAGTCGGAAAATCTTGGTTTTTCAGCCAATTCCGAGCCACAAGTGAGAGAATCGGATTTTGAGAGCAAAAACAGAGCCCTAGAGAGAGAAAGTGCGAAGAACACATCCTAGAAGCTATCTTGGAGCTGGGTTTCATCAAATCGAGCTTGGAGATCGTCATAGGAGTGGAAATCATCATCCCAGAGCAGATTTTCCTCATCTTTATGAGTATGACTACTCTGATTACTGTTTTCTTCTCTCTCTCTATGGATTAGAACCCTTCTCTCACTTGGGTATGAAGAACCCTAGTTCCTTGTGTTAGGGATTTGATTGTAATGACTTGGGATGATTATACTGTTTGGTTTTAATCGAATGATGCATGTTTATTGAATTGATTGAAGTCTGATCAGCTTTTCTTGATTTCTGCTGCAACCTGAGATAGATAGAATCTGATTAGGTTGTTAGAGCCTCTTCATTCGATAGTAGGAGATTGGTTATACGAGAGTTAGCCATTTTACTGCTT